TAGAGATAAGATGTAAATTATAATGAATGCTGTTGAATTATTTTTCAAAATTCACTCAACAACATAGGAAACATATATGTTTAATAAATTACCAAAATTTGATTGAGAACTCATAATCATTAAAGTTTGAATATAGCACAATTGTTATTATCAATGATATTGAATGACAGTCTCGATATATCACGAATAAAGTTAGAAAGATTAACTTTACTTATTTCATTTGATTTAATGATATAAGCTTTAACAAGCATATAATCAGATCTAAAAAATTTCAGATCAATATTCTACAGGATGATAAGTAGTAAATGATAAAAAATCTCAAACTAGAGTTCAGTTGTTCAGTTTGTAATGTCGGTTACTATATTAAGCCCATATAATTAATTCTACCTTCTGGACAGCCCAATTTATTCATTTTTCTTGAGTCACATTTTGATCTTGTTAATTATTCACTTATTAATCTTGACTGTTTTTATATGAGCATATGTGTGTACACATCTTATCCTATTCATCACATGTCTGTAACCTATTTTTATCTGGCTATAATATCGATTAACGCTTGGTTAAATGAAGTTGGCTCATACACCTTCTACACCGTGCTTCATTTTGTTTCACTTCATTCTTTTGATCATTTGCCTGGATCAATTATTGTAAAAAATAAACGTATTCAAAATCCTTTCTCGTATTTGACTTAATTCCGTTATTCACTAACGCAGATTCAGTCGATAATTACATACATGGATAGCCAGGATATAAATTTCGACATATATACCTCGAAAGCAATCGGAGAAAGTCAAACTGGAGTCAGATATAAGGCTACAAAAAGTTTTTCTTCAGTTTTAAATAGTTTTCCAAATGACAATAGTTTGAAAAAACAACTTTTCATAGTTTAATATATTTGTTAAAATGTCATTTCTTCAATGATAAGATTAATATGTTCTATAATATTTAAAATGATAATTATTTATGGAATGTTGTTGCCCATGTTAATAATTTATGATGTAACTTGCTTTCTTTGAGACTTTATATTTCAAAATATCTAAATAACATTATTTTACTTTTCGCAAAAGTAAATGCTAAAACACTTAGCTAGTTGTGTTAATCTATACGTTTGGAATAACCAACAAATATTTGTAAATCGATCAAATATGTGACTTAGTAACTATTATTTATTGGACATGACAATTCATATCTTATCATGTTATTGAAATTAATTTATATTATGTTTCATTAATTAAGAAGAGATGAACTATACTCCAGTGAATTCAATTCTAGATTTAATTGGTAAAATATATTGTATTTGGACATAGGTTTTGACCTGCGCTTAGTATCAGTTAAATCTCTATCCGTACGTTTTATTTTCTCACCGACGTCCAGTTCTATATATCGGCGAATGATTTTTATATAGAAATATGCATTTTAGTTATTTAGAACAAACAATATAGCTAATAAATCATTTCGGTAACCCGAATTCCCATCTGCAACTTGTTATCAAAAATCTTATCAATTTATAGAAGTATTTTTTCTTAAAGAGCTTATTGAATACTGTTGAATTGCATCCCTTAGAATAATCATACCGATTGCTTTCTGTTCCCGTTCTCCCCTCCTCGATCTTCTCAACCTTCTGTTTCCAAGCATTCTACTCCTGACTAGTGTTATACACTACTTATGTCGATATAAGTAGTACACACCACAATAGTTTTAGAAATAATATGTACAAAGAAGTAATCTAAAATAGGACTTCGTCGTAGTATACTTATTTATAAATCATCATTGGAATACGATGACTTGAGTACACTTAAGTGAAACATTCTGGAAAATGTGGCCAAGTTGAATTTAAATTTTGTCACGAATGTAAACTAGAAGACTTTCAGCGATTATAGATTTCAACTTAATGATTGGGAATTATTTCACACGAGAATGGATTCTTTCAGCCACACGGCAAACCATGCACTTACACCAATTCACAAATGATCGTTTGCGCCAAAAGTATGTCACCCAATCATTAACACAAGGAATAAAAGTCCGGTAAACAAAATTGAGATTATTAGTAAACACACTCATTGATCACTAATTCAAAAAGATGTTGATTAGAAGCATCACTACCAAGATTGAACTTGTTAGTTTCAAATAAATCGAGCTTTGGATAGAGATTTAGTAACTGATATATTTTTTGTTATACCTAAATGAGTAGAAAAGTTGTATTTCCGACGTTTCGTAACTTAATGTAACCCGCTTGCTTAGTTTTTAGTGTTTATCAAATTCTACCGATTCAGTGACCGATTGAATATCATAAGAGTTCAGTCATTAGTCTACTAGCCCAACAATAACATCTTTGAGTGTGGTATTATCATTTGATATGGATTTGAATTCCCCCAAAATTACAAATATCCCTTGTTAATTCTTCACAGTTAGTATGAAATTTAGGTTCAATTATTTACGCTGATAGTTTGCATTCATAAAATTATCGGTGTAAAACATATTGTTTCATTATCAGATAGACCCCATAAGCGGGATTATTATGGTTTAAGCAGAAATAACAAACTGGCTACTTACTTGCTTACGCCTGTTACTGCTCATGGAGGAACATAGGCCTCTCATCAGGATTCTCTATCTAACTCTGTTCTGGGTAGTCCTTTCCAGTTGTTTCCAGTAGCTATTAAGTCTTTTTCATATCTCTTTCCGATTCCCAAAGCAGTGTGTTCTTTGATCTTTCTCTTTTCCGTTTCACTTCACTCGTGACAAATCAAAATGCATCACGCGGCAAGCGCGGCCTGTAGGTCTTCTATAGCTACTGCCGGTCCCAAGCCTTGGTAAAGGAGGAGGGTTGGACATGGGGTCAGCAACTCCATCCCTTGGAAACCAACTTTGCTAAAAAGAACGCTAATCAGAATAAACAAATCGTCTAGTTGATATCTAAATTTTACTCTATCATTTTGAATACTTCGTCATTGAACTAAGGGATCTGACTTTTGTTAAGTTAATCTCAGTAAATAGCAAAACTATATGAAGGAATTTGATAAAAGCCTAACTCTTATAACTAGAAGATATAATTTATTCATATAGTATGAATATATACGTAAGTACTAGTTTAACGTAGATAAATTCATCTGCCATCATTATCATCATCATAAAACATCAGAATACAAAATGAAGTTTATGATTTTATTGATAATCTATGAAAATCAACTAAAATTTGAATGGATACCTATAACTCCAATATTACTAACTATATTGGTATCAATAAAAAAGTGCACTGAATAAGATAGAATAGATTCCTTTTTCTAAAATAAAATAAAAATAATTCACATTCAATATCATAATTTGTGATGATCATAACATAAATATCCTATTTTATGATAATCATATTGTTTATGTTAATTTATCTACCTTGTAGGAAATATAAATCTACCATTAACAAGCGCTTTATTTATTTAGATTTAGTGTTTTATGACTTTTTATTATGTTTTCATATAAGACTAATTCTATTATTCATAGTTTTAAAAACATGAACGGATCTTAGATAGATCATAATTAAAAGCCAGGAAGCATTGGAAAATTATTTTGTCCTAGTATAGGTTTCGTACTCAGTATGTGTTTGCAATCATATCACATAGAGTTGAATTCAGATTAGTTGGTCTCGCACGTAAACATCCAATCTATTAGTCACTGAAAAGTTTCATATTAGACTAAAGCAACTTCACAGTTCTCTCAGATTTTTAACAGTGGTCGAGTTATTTTATCAAAATATACCAACTTGTTTATTCCTAGTACTGATAATATGGATTCATTAGAATAAAATCACAACAGAACCAGGATAATTTTCATAGGAATTCATAATAAAAATCGGGTATATTTTGACAATATAAATACCATGAGAATAAGTAGAAACAAAAAGAACATGAAACCCGGTTCTTGACATTTTCTAGAAAGGTCTATAAAAACATATGCCAAAAAAGAAAGAAAAGCGAGAAACAATGCTGAATCAGTATAATAAAATGTCATGTAAATCTTTTAGTTTCCAATTTTATAAAATTACTTGCTGTTTTTATACATAACGGTATCATTAATTTATACATTTCGTCCCTTTTTAAGAAAACTAAATACTTAACAAAATAGGAAGAATACTTAAGAATGTGAATTTTTGTTTATGAAGTTATCATTGTTATTATTATTAATAAATGTTTGTCTTTAACGACAAATGATGTAGTTTGAATAAATCTAAAGGAACTCCGCCTATAGCTCTACTAGAAATACCATCAGTCTCAAGCCCGGGTAAAGAAGGAGGGCTGGGCATGAGGTCGGCAACCCCATCCCGTAAAAAAATCTTGGTAAAAAATGCCATCCAGATCAAACAAATTAAGAGAGAAAAAACGTGGTTTGTTAGCGGTTTCAAAAACTGATGGCTGTTTGTGATTTGCACATTTTATTTGTTTCATAGTTTCATGTTTATATATATAATTCAACCTTAACGAGAACATTTTTGGGACATCCATTTTGTGAGGTCTCCAGCGAGTTTGATAAGTATGGATAAAAAGCTCAAAGGAATTTCTGAAATGATTATTTTAATGGCAGATATATGGAGACAGTTGGTAGATAACCATTTAAATAGGTTGTATTCTAGTTATCATTCAACAGCATGACAAGTCTACCATTTGAAATCAAATATATTACATTATGATGTTAATTTAAATAAACTAACGGTTATATTGCATTTTATTTGATGAGATCCCATCAATACAGAAGACTGAATGCTGTAATATTGGCTTGCATCAAGTTTTCATAGGAACCTCAAGACCATAATTGTGTATAATTCACAAAACTTTATTTTACCAAAATACTTAATTGCTAGTTCTCTACCGAAGTTTTGGTTTCGGATCCATTTAAAATTAGTTTAACGTTCACATAAATCAGTTTTATATTTAACTTTAAGAAAAATATAATTTTATTCAGTTTTCTAAAAATTAACTAATTTGTTTTATATTTACTTATTTTTATATTAGTTACTTGGTTTCATTTGGATATTCATACTTCTGTACCAGAAATTTTACTTACAAATGGAAATAGAACTGTTACTAGTCAATTATCTGAAGATAGAGTAATTCTTGGTTCAACTGGTTTATCAAGAGGTGTACATTATTGGGAATTCACTGTAGATCGTTGTGATCCTGGTGGACAACCTGCATTTGGTATAGCTAGATATGATTGTAATAAAGAAATAATGCTTGGTGAGTTATATAATTGACAAAATACTATTCTATAAATCGATATTATGTAACTCAAAAACTCACTGATCAATATGATAATATGACTATACCTATTAATAAAAGACAAGGTATTTATTTATTCTCTTCAATTCTAAAATAATATTTTTTGATTGAGATGATGAGCCGATTGCTGTTAGACCGCCATTGAAAACCTGAAAGCACTGGACAGCCGTTCTGTTCTATTTTAGGACTCTTCAGCAATGTGCATCCACGATCCCGCTCGCGGGATTTGAACCCAGGGCTTTCAATCTCGCACGCGAACGCCTAACCTACTGGATCACTGAGCCGGCATCCGATGGTGTTAATGTCTAACCTCAACCAATCCAGTCTAAAACATAAAAATGGATCAATTTAAAAGATCCGTCAAAACTTTGTTGTAAATATTAGGAAAATGTAACAGCCAAATAAATAATGTCAACGTAAAAATGCAGATAATAAATTAAATATGGTTATTGTTTACCTTTTTACAAACTATATGTTTGAACGTAAATAACTAAAGACAAATAAAAAATGTAAAACTATAGAAGAAATTCTATTACACTATATATCTTCTAATAAATATTCCCATTTTCATCATAAGTGACTCTTTCTCTATCCGTATCTTTCCCTTACACAGTTTATCCGCTTCTTATCTATTTATTTTTTATGTCAATTTCTCCTCAAGGCGTTTTTTCCTTCTATACTTCTAATTATTTGAATTACGTGCAAATGAACTGAAAGGATACAAATCTGTTCATGTGTATACTTTATACATTCTACTTTGAACAACATAAATATTTATGAAATTTTTTTCAGTCTTCTTGTCATTCTTTTTCTGTGTTTGTAACACAAACAAACAAACGCTATTGAATTATCTAGAAAAAAAACAGAAAGAAAGAAACATGATGTGATACTATGGAAAAGTTTCCTTCAATTTTCATCTTAATTTTTATGATTGCTTATTCATCTGTAATTATTTTGTTCGTTTCTATGATCTGTAAAAATGATACAATAATAGACCATTTGCTGACGGTATATTACGTAATATACAACAAAACATTCTGTAAATGACTATTATGAAAATAGCCTACAGAATATAAGTAAATAATTATCACTATAATGTGTAAATAGACAAATTACTATCGATCTATTTATAATACATGGTTTACGATCAGATACAACGTTAAATGTTTATAAACCCGTAATTTATAGTAGTGTATATCTAATTATATTCAGTGTTTCAATTATTCGAACAGATATTAAGTAATCATTTAGGATTGAAATTAATTTTCCTCGAATACGATATTTGTCAATCAAGATGTTTGCTTAAAATAATATGAAGTGGTAAGATAAAATTACTGTTCAAAGTTTTCATACTAAATAATACGCAAATAATACGAAACGACAAAAATACAACTTTTCTACTCATTGTGATAAAACTATATTTTAATAGTTGAAATCATGGGTCGATTGAAGTTAGACCACCATGGAAAACATGGAAGCGATGGACGTCCGTTCCGTCCTATTGTGGAACTCCTCAGCGCTGCGCATTCACAGGAATCATGTCTCACGCGCGAACGCTTAACCTACAGATCACTGAGCCGGCCAGCATCCAACAGTCAATGTCTAATTTCAACTAATCCACAAAATTGAAGGACACATCCACTATTGTCTTCAGTGAGTTACTATTTCACAACAGACCAGTTAAACCCCACTGTTCACTGTTTCTCACTAGAACTTCATGAAATACCTCTTGAAACCAGTCACTAGTGAACATATGCCAATTCATATCAGAAGCGGTTTTAGTGGATATTATAGTTCTTTCAGATTTTCCATGGTGGTTAAGCTTCAATTGACTCATGATCTAAACCATTAAAATTGCTATGATGTCTACAAAAAACCCTTCTAAAGTATGATGGTTTATGATGTTGGTAATATGGATATCAATAAATTGTACATCATTGTTTCATTCTGATACTATTAGATTAACTTATCATTTTTCTATTTTACAATAATGGTATTCACACATCATTTCTTCAAATTTCCTTCAAATTATTTTTGTGAAATCAAAATAAGTTTAAACTCAATATTGGCTTATTTATTCTGTCAATGTAAGTTTGATTATCTATTTTATAAGACAGTAGACGTGAGAGGTTTCAATCTAAAATTTCTTTACGTGAATTTATTTTAAAATATGTCAATTTTGTATAAATTATTAATTACTGATTATTTCAGTATCATAGTGATATACATCTAGGGAAAAAGTAATAGGATTATTTATTATTGACATAACGGTCAATGTTGTAAACTCATATATAACTATTAGAAGTCTGACTTCTATCTGAAATTTGTGCTGATAATGTCGTTCAAAAGAACAATGAAAGCTCCACGACCAAACCATCCAGCTCAGAGAACAAAGCTCGATCAAAATCATCCATCGGAGCTACAAATCTTTTCCACCATCTTATTATTAAATTTTATATATAAAAACAGAATAATTAAAGTTTATTACGTCACAATCAAACTTTATTTAGTTGTAAATAAAAGTAAACGAATGTTAATTTATTTCTGTAGTTTCACTACTTATATGTATTATTAAATTCTGCTGCCAAACATTTCAATTACGAATGGTGCTACATACTACTAATATCTGTCAGAATAAGTAGCATACACCAGATTATAGATAGTAGTGTCATTTATTTACCATAAATCATTTTCCGGTTACCAAAGATATAAAATTAGTAGTTTAATAGAGTCGTAACATTCCACAACTAACCTATTTACTATTCATAACGATATATATATATAAATAAAATATGATAAAACCTTCCCGAGAAAAACTGTCAATTGAAATAGGATTTATTCAACTTGGTTATCGCTTACACCTTTTGAACTTAATTTTAGATTAGTTAAACAATAACTTTTCAATTGTATATTTTCCTACTAACAACTTAGGAATAAATAACTAACCAATATGAATCTGAAACATTATTGTTGTGTATGAAGTGACATATTTAATTATTATGGCGTCTATCAGATCATATGATAAGATCATTTAAAGTTGATAAAAGGGATTTCTTTTAAACAAAAAACAAAACAACAACAATTAATGAAATGAGATTTTTGGTAAAAACAAAATCTCATTTCATTAATTGTTGACTAAAACTTATAAAATAATTATGAATTACTTTGAAAAAGTGAATCCCTCCAAAAAAGAAAAAAATTCTTTTTGTATTTTTGTCTACAAAAATTAATTAGAGGAGATTTAAGCTGATGCTGAGAAGAAAAAAACAGAAAAAAATAATGTAAATATTCGTTTTCTACAGAAAAAAGAGAATGAAGTGAGCAAGGGGAAAACAAAATCTAAATGAGAATCAGATTCCACTCGAATTTATTCGATGATTCAGCATTTCTCTTCACATCATTAACAATAACAACGTTGTTTATAACATATATATATATATATATATATATATATATATATATATATAATTCAGTCAAATATGGGACTCAATCGACTATATTTTCTAACGAATAATGACTCATCGATTCCCTAGACACGCAGATTTGCCTAATCACTTCTATACGAAACTACATCTACTGTATTTCATTGATGTAATACTCTTAAGAATTTACTCTTTTCTTTTCACATTATTCTAAGTTGATTAACTCATGAATCTATTGAATATTGTCGTTTATATTCAGTAACCAAAAAAAAGAGAATGAAAGAAAATAAAGTGAATACATTATCACTATTAACTAACAAATTACATTATTTAATCATAAGTTCAAGTATACAATTATAACTTATTGATGGATAGAAAGGTTTACAAAAACATTTTCTTCTTATGTATTGTTGTTGTTGTGTTTTTTTATAATTTGGAATTTTCTTCCCATATTGCTGTTTACTTACTTAAAAGCGAATAGAGTTAAATAAGTTTCAATATGATTATATTCAACGGTTTAATGGATTTTTCTTTCCATTTTCGCACTTTTTATTTATTCCTTTTTTATGATTATCGGTTTTCTTTTTTTTTCCACTGACTGTTGCAAATTCTAAAGGTGTTGTTTGAATCAGCTCCCTTTTTTTTAGAAATAAATCTTTATTCTTTTCATCATAATGTTATATATTTATTTGAATTCTTCATTACTTTCATTCACGATCTTTGTGATGTCTACTATACACCTTAGAGAATAAATTTATATTCATGAATGAATCATCAACAAATTAGATTATTAACACTTTCATAGTAAGAAATTTTCCACTATGTTATCAACTTCGTCATCATCACCAATGATAACTCAATCATCTTGATTGAAATTATTATCATTTCATTATTTTGCTTAATTATTATCACTTAACTATTGAATCCTTCAATTAAACTGATAAATTGATGTTGCGTGATTTCAAGTTGCATCTAATAATGTATGACATAATAGACTGTTAAAATCATTGTATTAATCTCTTAAATTTATCAGAAATAAAATGTAGATAAACAAATTTGTTGATTGAATAGATAAGGTGATTCATCGCCATTATCATCCATAATTTTGTTCATTTGATTTTGAAACTTCTAAGAAAAATTTATAAATTTTCTAGAAACTGCTAACTGAAGGTAAACTTCATCATAAATTAGTACTAAATAGAATGGTATTGGGAAACTAAAGAGTACAACACAACTATTTAATCATTGTCTAATAGTTAACAATACATACTCATAGTTATACATATGATGTAACATAAAAGTTTCAAACCACAAAAGAACCATGTGAATTGTCTAAGTAGTATGTAATGTCGCAAATTGTCAAAATTAATTAATTTCATTACTTAACCATCATTCATATAGTTTTGTTTTAATTATTACATTAACAATGTATAGTATTTATATAGAAACAAAGAAATTCACTTTGAAATATGTAGACATTCCCTTAAAAAGGAATATAAATATAATTAGATAAGTGTAGAGATAAGAACATAAGAGTTATTTAAGAAAGAGAAAGCTGTTAAAAACAGTTATTTAGTTAACAGATATAAACTATGATCAGAGATATATTCTGATAAATACAAAATAGAATATTCATATAAATGAAAATAATACACGAAGTATTGATTAAATGTATAAAAATGATAAAATACAACTTTAAAAGTACTTCTACAATTCATAAATATCTATCTTGAATTCATGTGAAACCATGATACAAAAATATCTATCTTAATTAACAATTTTCAACTATTGTTTAAAATATTATTACAGATAGTTAGATTTCGTCACATTATGTTGATGATTAATTATTGACTTATTTGCATTCAAATTACTTGAATGGGAATCAGTAGAACGTTCCTAAATCTACTTTCAATACTGACTGACGTTTATCAATAATCTGCATCTGTAATCGTATTGAAAGTGATGTTCTCCATGGGATTTGAACCCATTTTTAGATAATATCACTGGGCTATTCGATTCAAGACGAATCTCCTGTAAGAGTGAGATATTCAAAGAGTATGCTATTTATCAAGAAATGATTGTAATTTTAAATAAGCTAAATCAGAATGGTTATTGTCTATTGTTGCACAATATTCAACATTATTATGTTATTATTTCCATAATAATACTGATAATAATAATAATAATAATTAGAGAGAGGTTTTGTGGATATTATAGTAATTTAGTAGTTGAATTCATGAAGCGTACTGCTGAGGTTTCCCATATTAAAATGAAACAGCCGTCTACTGCTTCCAGGTTTTCCATAGTGGTTTAGTTTTATTTGACTCATGAATTCAACTATGAAATTGCTATAATATCCAAAAAACCCCTTCTGTTATGAATCAATATACGCTCATTAGTGACTGTCTCCAAGAGGTATTTCATGAAGTTCTAGTGAGAAACAGTGAACAGTTGAGTTCAACTGAGTCTGTTGTGAGATAGTAACTCACTGAAGACAATAATGTATGTGTCCTTCAATTTCGTGAATTAGTTGAAGTTAGACATTGAGACTGTTGGATGTCGGTCGTCTCAGTGATCTGGAGGTTAAGCATTTGTTCATGAGACCGATATGTCCTGTGTTCGAATCTCGAGAGGCAGGATCGTGAATGTGCACTGCTGAAGAGTCCCACAGTAGGCCATCCATTGCTTCCATGTTTTCCATGGTGGTCTAGCTTCAATTGATTGATGAATTCAAATAATAATAATTGTTTATTTAATGCAAAGTTAAAATAAAAATTAAGAAAAAAACATATTACTTAAATGAAAATTTCACGATTCATTTGTTTTCTAAGGAAATTTTTGTTTTCATTAATTCATATGGATAATCTTCAATGAACTATCAAGACTGAATAGTTATTACAATTTTTTAAACAAAAAAAAATAGTTTCTTATGAGTTATTTTTATAATTTTTAGACTATAATATCATTCTAATTTAAATGAATGTTGTAGTTTTCAAGTTTATTCAAATGATTATTATATAAATAATGATTATAATATTAATAATGATACAATATAACAATTTATAGTTTTTCATTATATACTACTCAGTTTAGTGTTGTAAACTTAGTCATTAAACATTTCGTTTTTAGTATTAAAAGAAAAGATTTAAATGATCTTATTTATAATCTTGGCTGAATTCACATCAGCATTTGTTTAAAATCCTGTTTAAATAATCAATAATAGAATAAGTTAAAACTTTCTTGTATTACTTGAATGACTGTCTGGACTTTTTAGTTTGATGGATGAAACCTTTAGCATTTGAAGTGGAAGGTATTGGGTTCGAGTCTCAGGATGAATAATAATACTAAGATGTAGGTACATCCAACTGACAAGTCACAAAACGAATGAAAGGAAGGTTCAAGATTCTAATATTAAACATAAAAATACTAGTTCTAAAAAAATTTCTTTTCAGTCATTTTTTTTTCAAAATTGTTATTCAAAACTCTATTATTATGAAGAATGACTTTCTCGTAATGGAAACTACTATTCTGATTGTTAATCAATTTTTACTCAGTAACTAACTATAAGTGTCTGTTATCAAGACATCATCATGAACTTGATGTAATTCCTAAAAAAAGAATAAACAGATTAGGTTACGCAAACTTGTAATATTCTCTGATGCAAATTCTTTACTGAGAAGTGTGATTACTAATGAAAATCAAGTTGATTATTTATTAATAGAACTCCAGGAAATACCTCTTTCAGCCAGTCACTAGTGAGAATATGGCACTTAGTATCAGAAGGGGTTTTGTGAATATTATAGTTCTTCCAGGTTTTCCATGGTGGTCCAGCTTCAATTGACTCATGATTTCAACCATTAAAATTAATACAATATCCACAAAAAAAACCCCTTCTGATGTTAATTATTACTCAGATTTTAATATTATGATCAAGTTAATAGAATAGTACATTAAAAATCTTACTGTAATATTGAGGTGTATTAACTCACTTTTTAAATATGGATTTAAATATGTTACATTAGTCTTGTTAAATATAAATCTAACTGACAAATTTCCATTTACTCTAATTATAAGCAAAACATCAAATGTCACAACACAATCATTTTGATGCAACATAACGAAAAAGTTTTTTTATAATGTGAATTAACAATTGATTAGAACGAAAACAATCAATATAGATATTTCTATTATATTTCTCTTCTCTACAACTTTAGGTCTTGATATGAAAAGTTGGTCGATTTATTTTGATTATAAACGAAGTTGGTTTTTACATAATGGAGAACATTTTGAACGAACTGATGGTGGAATACATGCTGGTAGTGTAGTTGGTATTCGACTGGATTGTAATAGAGGCAGTTTATCTTATTATTTAAATGATCAACCACATGGTCCAATTGCATTCACTAATTTACCAAATGGGATTTATTATCCAGCTGTCAGTTTAACAAGAGCTATTCAACTAACTTTACATTCTGGTTTAGAAGCCCCTAGTGAGAGTGAAGAAAGTGATGAAGATAGTTCTGGTGGTGGAACAGGAACTGAAACCACTTCTATGGCAACCACTGTTTTAACCCTACCATCTACATTACAAAGCAAAGGATTAAGGCAATGAATTTATTGACATGAGTATGTTTTAAATATTATAATTTTGCATTTGTATAAAACAATCATCTTTGTTCTTAGATATCTTAAAAATTTGTACGCTATTTATCTTATATTTTATTTCACTTATAGTTCTAACCTTTTAATAATCAACGACATTTAGGTTCCTACGAAGTGATATTAGTAATACTACTGTAGCAATGGATCCGTATAGAATGAACTACAACCCTAATCATATTAAAAAGAAAGCAACTTCGAATGGAAATCGCTTAGAACCAACCACAGATGTTTTTTAAGACCAAGTATTTAAAATTATACAGTTTATATAGATTTTACAACAGTTTCTAACAATCTGTTGGCTCCAATCTAGTGGTTTACTATCTATTTTAGTGTCAACTTGAAAGGAGATAAATGAATTTTTTTCTGGTTCCATCGATTTTTCATATCCGGAGCTTCCCAAAAAAACATATGGATTTCACTGATAATAGTTTGTTCGTATAGATTGAACATACTTTGATGGTTGAACGTGCATAACGGTAAACATATTTAGTAATAGTATTTGGATAGATAAAGAAGATGCTTTACTGTTCAGCCATCGTTTTTACTGATTAGTAAATATTGTTTGTAAAGCGGAGCTTATAGTTGGTTCTAATTAGAGATATCATTCCCTTGTTACTTCTAAAGAGTACGTTACAAACCCTATTAAGGTTCGAACACATTTCCATTTCGTCCAAACAGTAATAAATAAAAGAAAGTGAAGATAATTTTCTAAAACACACTAACAACATATTTATTAAAAATAATAAATAAGGCTAACAAAATTGATTAAGAAAAATTTCGATTCATTGAGGAGGTCAGGTAAAAGAATTATTTTCATTTCCGGTAGTTTACAATAAACTACCTAGTCATTATTCTGATAGAAATTTCTAAAATAAATTATCATTCTATCTTGATGAACATTCAATTCACTAAAATACTGAAGTAAAATATTTCACTGACATTTTCTTGTCTGACATCTTTGACGAAATAGAATTTCAGTTACTTGGATACATAAAATGAGGCTCTCTGTTAAACCATATACATATTTCTTGGTAATTTCATGTGAAATACATGGCATATAATTCAATTTGATAAGTTTCTCTATATTGGAATGAAGCAAAACTGCATTTTTATAAAAATAGTATATCAAGTCATTTGATTTTCAAAAGAGTATTGTTACAGTACATCTTGTACCTAGTGTACAACTTCATTCAAAAGATATATATATTTTTTTCATTTTGAAAGGAATCATAACAACTGCTTCTTAGGATTACATAATTCATGAAGTGGATAGTGCAGTTTTATATATAATACAATAAACTTCATTTACAATATTTCCGGTACATATACGTGAGTTTTAGTTAAGAGTTAAAAAAAGTAAATTGGCGAAAATTTCAGTGATTGTATGAAAGTTAGTATTTTATTAATCACCTATTAATATCTAATATTTATAATTATTGCTTTACATTGCCATATAATTTGATCATGTGCACATTGTTAGTTCTATAGACAGAAGTTAATCACCCCTAACAGCTAGACAAAATAACGTTAAATATTGTTATGTAATGTATTGACTTTTAAGGGTAACAAACGTCAGTTTAGTAATATATATATATATATATATATATATATATATATATAAACAAGCGTATCTAAATATCTTAAAAGAATGCCTAAGATTTCTAGAGGTCTATTAATAAGTTATAAGTCCTTACAGTTTAAATACAGGAATCAATGAAACAACCGGATATGAGCTTTGATTTTATTTAAAGCCCGTATTCACGGAAAATTTCCTAAATGAAAACGTCTTACATAAACTTGAACTTTAAATTAAACTTAATGGATTTATATGCAATAATTCGAGGGTTATGTGTATTTAAGCCAAATGAGTGATTTAAGAAGCAAATAACTATATTTGATTTTTTCCAGTTGTTCTATGTAAATATTAGATAATAATAGGTGATTAGCAAAATATTAACCTCCATTCAATCACTCAAATTTTCGCCAATTTACTTTTTTTAACTCTTAACTAAAACTCACGTATATGTACCGGAAATATTGTAAATGAAGTTTATTGTAATATTATATATAAAACTGTATAGCAACTCACGTGCAATTGAGTTTGTTCTCATTTAAATCATCTAAGCCCTTTTGTTAACTTATTTAGCGGACAAAGTCATCCACACTATGACAACTTATTCTACGTTATTATTGTGGTGCTTGTATGAAATATATATGCTTGAACACTGCTTACCACGTACTCATATATTCATTCTGCTAGCTTTATTATTAACTGCTTAAATGATTCGATGATCCATTCATTTCCCTATATATATACATGCACATTCACACTCTACACTCTCGGTTCGCTGACTCATTCGCCTCACTGCTTTGTGGTCTGAGTTATCTGCTGATAAAAATGTAGTCACTGCTTTTCTCTGCCTTCTGATTCTAAACACCGTTCAGGATTATTTGGTAACGGTTACGAGAGTGATTGGTTGACGAAGCACAGTCACTACAACTGCACTATCCACTTCATGAATTATGTAATCCTAAGAAGCAGTTGTTATGATTCCTTTCAAAATGAAAAAATATATATATCTTTTGAATGAAGTTGTACACTAGGTACAAGATGTACTGTAACAATACTCTTTTGAAAATCAAATGACTTGATATACTATTTTTATAAAAATGCAGTTTTGCTTCATTCCAATATAGAGAAACTTATCAAATTGAATTATATGCCATGTATTTCACATGAAATTACCAAGAAATATGTATATGGTTTAACAGAGAGCCTCATTTTATGTATCCAAGTAACTGAAATTCTATTTCGTCAAAGATGTCAGACAAGAAAATGTCAGTGAAATATTTTACTTCAGTATTTTAGTGAATTGAATGTTCATCAAGATAGAATGATAATTTATTTTAGAAATTTCTATCAGAATAATGACTAGGTAGTTTATTGTAAACTACCGGAAATGAAAATAATTCTTTTACCTGACCTCCTCAATGAATCGAAATTTTTCTTAATCAATTTTGTTAGCCTTATTTATTATTTTTAATAAATATGTTGTTAGTGTGTTTTAGAAAATTATCTTCACTTTCTTTTATTTATTACTGTTTGGACGAAATGGAAATGTGTTCGAACTTTAATAGGGTTTGTAATGTATAAATGCAAATAGGTTGTTTGATATATTTTATGTTATTTTGTGCATTTAGTTCCATTATGTCATTCATGAATTGTATTGAACTTTCCGGAAATTATTTCTTAATAGTTTAGTTAGTTTTCATTATGAACTAACATCAAATGAAGAATTAATTAAGACTGTAATGTATTGACACAGTCGTTTTATTCTATATCCAGACTTTCAAACTTACCACAATCACATTTTTTAATACTAAAGAACAAATTAAAATTCATTCTATTTTTCATTTCTTTTTTACAGATTATTAACTATATAATCTGCCTGTAAGTTTATTTGTTTTTCCAAATGTTTACTTGTAAACAATTCATATGTAGCTCGAAAAAGTTTCAATCAAGTGAAATATCAACTTTCAGGCTATAAATTCGATAAACAAAATATATACTTAAACTAACTAATTCAAGTAAGATGAAATCTTCTAACGTTTCTTCAATTACATACACCTTTTAATATACATTTTACTAATACATAATGACTTGATATAAGTATCTATGAAAACATTGAAGTCACAATGTTTGTTTCACTTTTTTTTCTTTTTGAATGTCTTCAATAATTTGAATTACATAAATCACTTGATTACTATATAGTTTCTTTGTATAAATCAACTAATCTATTAATTGTATGCTTTATTTATTTAGAATGTTTGTGTTATTTGGTGAATACAAAAAATCTTACATAAAATCTGTTAATGAATCTACAAAACCTCATAACAATAATAATAGTAATAACTTATTAATATTTTTTGTTTATCTAAATTGAATATTGAATTGTGAACATTTAGTCATTTATAAACTTATTTTAAAGAAAAAATAACAGAATAAAAACAAATAAGACTTGGTCATAAATAAATAAAACTACACCATATATATATATATATATATATATCGTACACAGAAATGATGTACAAATGATAACAGTTAACTTTTTGTTTATATTTTATTAAATCTTAAGCATAAACATAAAAGAATTTGAAATATAGATTGTACTAAACACTTTAAATACATCAGTAATGTAATCATATTCATAAAAAATGTTTTGTTCCTCTCATTGGTTTCGTTTGTTTGTTTGTTTTTCTTTATTGATCCAAATGTTCTTCCTAAGTTGTTTGTTTGTTTATTTATATTTTTGGTCTTATTTTTTATGTGTACATTTCAATTTGTATTAATTAAAAAGTTCAGTAATGTAAGGGATATATCATTTAATTTTGTTTAAATATGAACTTCTTAATTCTATTCACATGTTACATCATAAAATTGTTGATAACTTATCAACTATTTGTTTTGTTTAGTTTTCTTTTTGGTTTTTTTTCTTTTCTATGTATGTTTTCTTGGAAAACAGACAAACGATTTAATTATGTTTTGGGATAATAATTTTTTTTAACAAAAAAAAAGTAAACCCTTTTCTTTCTCAGAAGTAAATCTGTTGTGAAATTGTGTAATATGATCGTTTTGTCCTTTTTTTGTTTTCGTTTTATTTTCTTCTTTTGATTATGTCAATGTAATTTGTGTGTGAATTATTCTTTTAAAATCCTATTCACAATATGATTAATTCATGTAACCATGGTTGTTTCTTTCTTTTCTTTTTTTCTTTTTTTTTAATTAGTAATATATGTACACAAATATTTGTTGTCGTATTCTTATTTAGAAATTAAATTTGTTTAGAGGAGAGAATCAAAATATAGAAACTTGATCACTCATTTGAGAAAAGAATATCACTGATTCATTTATATCTGGTTTAAAATAAATTAATTTACCAAATCATAATGAGTATTCATTTTTTTTATTGATTGTTCTAAATCTTCTTATTGATGTTGTGAATTGTAATTAATTAGATACTAATCAATTATAGTCTTTAATATCCATAGTAAGATCTAAACAATCAATATATACAAATTGAAATTGATCTCATTTCACAAGTCAATGGCTGTCTGAACTCAGTAACTAAGTGAATAACATGATGAGGTTGGAAATGAAAGGAAATGGATTGAAATCCCATGGTGAACATCAACACAGGGATGCAGGTATATCTAGCTGACGATTTCTAACTGTGGTGGAGTGCGCATCCAAGATCCGACTGCTAGACTTTATCTATAGTGATTATTGTTGAATTATGTTCAATCTTAAATGTTTTAATACTTGAATGCTTTTTATGTTACCAAATTAAATAAGCATCATTCAAATGTTCGAATGGATTGTAATTAAACGGTTTTAGGGATTTCAATTCATGAAAATAGAACACTGATCATTTTTATGATAAGTCAGGAATTTTGATGGTGGAATTTATTCTACCCTGCTTTTTGACCAAGTTATTATCTACCAATTAAATGACGTTTTAAAAAGAGCAACATGTTGATCAATAGATTAGAAATATTACTTACAAGTAAATGATCTTGAATTAGAGAAAACAGTTTTCATCTTTGGGAACTTGCTTCGTCTAACTCCAAATAAAGTATTTTAAACACACAACTGAAACGTTGACAGATTTTGCGTTAGTTATAAAAATATGTGTTGTTACGAGTTAGTCTATATATATATATATATAACTGAGAAACAGTAAAATAACCGAAATGTAACTAAAAATAATTATCACTTTACGTTTCTTATTAAAACAAATTATTCGTCTTTGCTTTTCTGATAAACCATAAGAAACATCGGCTGTCATAATATTAAACTGCGTAGTTTTAGGAGACGAAAGCTAAGTAAATTTCGCACCTATTGAGAATAAATTAAGAGGCTTAATTTATTTATACATTACAAGCGCCTAAATCAAAATTATTCTAATAATTGATCGATTACCTTAATCTAGACGATCTATCAGTTATTTGTCAGTTCATTTTCTTTGAATTTAAATTTCATCCACTGAATAAGAAAATGTTTTTTAAGAGAACATAAATGTAGTATGGTAAAAACTTAATTGTTGAAGTATATAAGAAAACATAAAGGTCTAATTTAACTGAAAATGTGGTAAGACTTTATTTAGATAATCAGTGAGCATGGATAGTTCAGTTATATTAAAGTTCACCTACTTCTCATATTGAAATACTCTCTCATGATGATTAAAGTATTTTTCAGTATATTAATTCATTTGGTTGGATATTCTACAATTAAACGATTTCATAAATCTGCGGACTAGGACTGTTAAATTAACATAAATCATCACAAATTTCCATAGAATAAAACGTAAAGTCCTATTGTTGTTATAACAGAATTTAAATATGACTAATACGTAACATCGCTTATTCAATCATTACGATAACTGAAGTAGGTATCACTCAGTTAAATTAAGTTTCATATAAATACTTCTTTTTATCAATTCAAAAAGTGAAATTTATTTATTTGAAATAATATTTCAACACGTTATTGAAGTAGATTCTTCTATAAGAGAATCCTGAACAAACAGTTGTGTATGTAATGACCAGAACATTGATTTAAGCTCATATTTAGTGGTCCTAATAATGCATTCCCTTCCAACTCAAATCCACATTTCTCCAAAAACATCAATTCAACCAACATCTTAATCGTTTATTCACACTGGTTTCTAAACAAAAATGAAGGTAGACCGTTCAGAGAAAATCTTCTGCTTTCAAAACAGACTGTAATTCATTTACAACTGACGTAACAGGCAAATAAGATACTGTCTACATTTACTTGATTGTCTTGAGTCAACCGAAGCCCTACATGAAGCGTAACCAATGTCTTTAATCAATGAATAGATCAACCATCAAAAGTAATTTTATTGTCATTAAAGTTTTTGGAATCATCAAAATGACTACTTTTTCAGACTTTATAGGAATTGTTTGAAAAATATCACGGTAAGTGGATAATCATTACATCACGTTCATTTGAATTCATCATCGTTTGATAGAATGAAAACTTATCCGAAGATTTCAGATTATCAGTTTATTCGTAGTGTTTTCAGCTAGATTGTGTTTGGGGAAGGCATTATCACGGCAAATTGTTTTGAAACGCAGACTTTATCTAAATCTCGCAATGCGCTTTTGCCTTATTAATAAAAACAGAAGAATATTCGATGCTGAATTACCCCAGGTTATCTAGAAAAAATAGGAAAAAATACCACAAAGTAGATTAGACTCATGAAAGCTTATTGAAATGCAACTAACTCATTGTGCAAATAGAATAAAATTTGAGATTTGATTACAAATTTGCGACGTTGCAGCTAACTCTGTGCAGATCTTATGTTTCATATCTACTTGGTCGAAGGTACTAATATTTCATCCAGACTGTATTTGACTAATAACTACTGAACTGATTTTCTTCATAAGTTATACAAAGTAAGAAAGACAATATTTACAGAGTACAGCGAGTTAATCACTGAAGTATACCTTGATTTCAAAATAAAATGCTCAGTAAATATTGCAAAATCAGTAATCGTGGTGGAAACTTATGGCTGGAGTTGGAAATATTATTGAAATTGGTCTATATCGCCCATGCTTAAATCGCCAAACAGAAGAAATAATTATAAACATATTTAAGTTTCAGAAGGAGTTTTGTGGAGATTGTAGTGATTTCAGTAGTTGAGATCATGAGTCAACTAAAGCTAGACCACCATGGAAAACCTGGAAGCACTGGACGACCGTTTCATCCTAACACCGTTGGATGCCGACTCAGTGGTCTAGTGTTTAAGCCCTCGCACGCGCGACTGATAGGTCCTGTGTCGTGGATGCGCAATGCTGAGGAGTCCCACAATAGGAGGAAACGGCCGTCTAGTGCTTCCAGGTTTTACATGATGGTCTAGCTTCGAATGACTCATGATCGCAACTACTGATATTAAAGTTTTCAAATAAAGTTGAAGAAATATATATATATTTTTTTTCAGATCATTTTCACTTGACGTTTTCAATTATTCTTTCATGGCATCTGTTTTTAAATTACTTAAAAATTAACGCTTCTGTGCCAAGGGAATATAAAAACTCTCACAACGTATTTAAAATAGACTTATGACTTTTGAATGGACCGTAATCTAGAGTCATGTTAAGAGATGTTACTCTGTTTACGCAAAGTACTTTAAATAAATGTTGAGTCAGAAACTATAAAAGATTGTAAAATTGGTTTTGAAATAACTATGGACAACTGTAAACCTAATATGAGAGTATTCATAGTGCTGAGAAATTTTAAGAACTTTAGTCGTATTTTGTTGTTTATCTATAAATGTTACTAGAAATTCCACGAAAAAAAAACTGAAAATTTATTGACTTTGTTTAAGCTACACCATGACTGAGATTTAACTAACATTAGTGATCTTTCATAAGTCCTTAGATTTTTAAAGTTACTAGTAATAATGTTAATACCGACTGACTTTCATAATTAAACTATCCTTGTTGTTAAGGTTTTTCTAGTTTTTGCCTATAGACTTTGTCCAGAGTTCATGGGCTGAGAATTTATTAAACCCTAATAATCAGTTAGAAAGTCATGATAGTTCAATCTGTGAAAAGTAGTAACATTAACTGAAAATATTCAGTATCATTTTTAGTGTTAGACTTTTGAACAAACTACCATTGATGCAATTAAATACAAAATGCTTACGCAGTTCTTTCTGGAGGTTCAGACAGACATCAGTTGGAATACAAAAATGTTTTATGCTTATAAATAAAAAGAAATATATAGATGTATTCTGTTTCATTCCTTTACAATAGTATATAATTATAAGCTCAAAGCATAAGATAAATTTCATTTGTATTTCATGAATCCACTTCATATATCATATTACCCTAACTTAAATTCATCTAAAATATTTATAAGTGTTTATATCTTGTAGATTAAATAGCTACTTTAAACAGGACAAAAAAACTTAAAGGTTTATAACATAAAATATAATGGCTTGAATTAGTTAGTTTGTTACTTTGCGATCAATTCGTTGGTGATTTTGAAAGTTAAGTTTTCCAATAAGTGTGTGGATGTATTCAGTTGACTCTTTGAATCCATTCTGAATTTGTGGTTTAAATCTTTTACATTTATAAAAAAGTCAGTGATAGTTGATAAGTATTATCTGAAACTATTTAAGACATTAAATTGAATTCATATGACACCAAAAATAAGAAAAATACTAATGTCTTGAAAGCTTCTATTTCCTCATAAGTAATATTGTAGTGAACGAGAACACAAGCAGGAACAATCGAATGTATTTAAATACAAAATTACAGAATCCCTTAGTAAAATCTGAGAGCCATACTTCATTTGCAAAAATGTCAATCAATCGCCTCAGTCTTCATTGTCTCTTTGTTTCTACACCAATCATTCTCTGTTCTCGTTCTCTTTTCCTTGATCTTCCTAACGTTCTGCCTCCAGACATTTCATTTTCGACTTGTGATACATACTACTTATATCTGTCGATATCAGTAGTACACACCACAATATTACTTAAACAATAATCACTACCAAGTATTAAGTAATGACAAAAAATTCCTGTTTCATCATCTGCAAAGATACATATGTACGCATATTTGGACACTGGATCACATGAAAGAAAGCTTGTTAGTTTCCTTAAAATCGTAGCTATGTCTTACTGATGAATGCCAACTAACATGAAACCCTAATCTAGGTTATTTCTTAATTAAGCCACTCACCTGATATTAACAAATATTTAGTTTCTACAGTTTAGTTCATCAAAGTTTTAAGTCTTCTACTTGCATAAACATGAAGTTAACATGAACCTTATGTCTGTAATGAAAGTATTCAATTTCTCAGTTAAGATTTTCAATTATTTAGTTGAGATTCATGTTGGTGATTTGATTATTTTTAATGAATAATTTTACGTAAACCAACTTCCTGCATGTTATATAAAATAAATTACAAATAATAATGTCATTTTTATAAATGACATAATAGACTGTATTTCTTATTTCTTGGAAAATGTATTCATTACGTTTTTTTAGAGAAAAGACTATTTAAATGTCAATTTAACCAACAACAGAAGATACATTTGCACACACACACACACACAAACCTTAAACAGTAAAAAAACATCTTATTCTCTATTTATTAAGATTTATTAACAACAACAAAATTTTGAGTAAACGATGAAAATATCCATATTAACAGGATTATTAGTACTAGTTGTATTATGAAAAAAAGTAGACAGTTAAAGTAAATGAATGACATATGCTTGTATTTCTTCATTGATCTATCTTTTTATTACCCTATTATGTTTGTAATACGTCGTTGAATAAAATTACATTGTATGCTTTTGTCCGTTTTTTCTCTCAGTTTGGCTTTAAATCAATACATTTTAAGTTAACATGAAACTGTAATAGGATTATATAAGTAAAATTATAACTATTGTAATCTTTATTTAATTTAAACTGAAACTTAACTGGAC